GTCACTGGGCTGTCAATGGGCTGTCAGTGGGCTGTCACTGGGCTGTCACTGGGCTGTCACTGGGCTGTCACTGGGCTGTCACTGGGCTGTCACTGGGCTGTCAATGGGCTGTCAGTGGGCTGTCACTGGGCTGTCAGTGGCTGTCACTGGGCTGTCAATGGGCTGTCACTGGGCTGTCACTGGGCTGTCAATGGGCTGTCACTGGGCTGTCACTGGGCTGTCAGTGGGCTGTCACTGGGCTGTCAATGGGCTGTCACTGGGCTATCAGTGGGCTATCAGTGGGCTGTCACTGGGCTGTCACTGGGCTGTCAATGGGCCACTGGAGCTGTCAGTGGGCTGTCAATGGGCTGTCACTGGGCTGTCACTGGGCTGTCACTGGGCTGTCACTGGGCTGTCAGTGGGCTGTCACTGGGCTGTCACTGGGCTGTCACTGGGCTGTCACTGGGCTGTCACTGGGCTGTCAATGGGCTGTCACTGGGCTGTCACTGGGCTGTCACTGGGCTGTCAATGGACTGTCAATGGGCTGTCACTGGGCTGTCAATGGGCTGTCAATGGGCTGTCACTGGGCTGTCAATGGGCTGTCACTGGGCTGTCAGTGGGCTGTCACTGGGCTGTCACTGGGCTGTCACTGGGCTGTCACTGGGCTGTCACTGGGCTGTCAGTGGGCTGTCACTGGGCTGTCACTGGGCTGTCACTGGGCTGTCACTGGGCTGTCACTGGGCTGTCACTGGGCTGTCACTGGGCTGTCACTGGGCTGTCAGTGGGCTGTCACTGGGCTGTCAATGGGCTGTCACTGGGCTGTCACTGGGCTGTCAATGGGCTGTCAATGGGCTGTCACTGGGCTGTCAATGGGCTGTCAGTGGGCTGTCACTGGGCTGTCAATGGGCTGTCACTGGGCTGTCACTGGGCTGTCAATGGGCTGTCAATGGGCTGTCACTGGGCTGTCAATGGGCTGTCACTGGGCTGTCACTGGGCTGTCAGTGGGCTGTCACTGGGCTGTCACTGGACTGTCAATGGGCTGTCACTGGGCTGTCACTGGGCTGTCAGTGTGCTGTCACTGGGCTGTCACTGGGCTGTCAGTGGGCTGTCAGTGGGCTGTCAGTGAGCTGTCAATGGGCTGTCAATGGGCTGTCACTGGGCTGTCACTGGGCTGTCACTGGGCTGTCACTGGGCTGTCAATGGGCTGTCAATGGACTGTCAGTGGGCTGTCACTGGGCTGTCAATGGGCTGTCAGTGGGCTGTCACTGGGCTGTCAGTGTGCTGTCACTGGGCTGTCACTGGGCTGTCAGTGGGCTGTCAGTGGGCTGTCAGTGAGCTGTCAATGGGCTGTCAATGGGCTGTCAATGGGCTGTCAGTGGACTGTCACTGGGCTGTCAATGGGCTGTCACTGGGCTGTCACTGGGCTGTCAATGGGCTGTCAGTGGGCTGTCAATGGGCTGTCAATGGGCTGTCACTGGGCTGTCACTGGACTGTCAGTGGGCTGTCAATGGGCTGTCAGTGGGCTGTCAGTGGACTGTCAATGGGCTGTCACTGGGCTGTCAGTGAGCTGTCACTGGGCTGTCAATGGACCATGTCCCCCCAGCCGCGCCCCACGCGGGGCCGGATGCGGATCCACTGCCTGGAGAACGTGGACAAAGCGCTGCAGTTCCTGAGGGAGCAGAGGGTGCACCTGGAGAACGTGGGGTCCCACGACATCGTCGATGGCAACCATCGCCTCACCCTCGGCCTCATCTGGACCATCATCCTGCGCTTCCAGGTGAGCGCACGACACCCACACCGACACTGACACAGACACCGACACCGACACAGACACCGACACCAACAGAGGGGGGAGGGAGGGCGTGGGGGTGGTGGGGGTGGTGGTCATGATGGTGGTGATGATGGTTGGGGTGATGGTGATGGTGGTGGTGATGATGGTTTTGGTGATGGTGACAGTGGTGGTGATGGTGACGATGGTGGTGAGGATGGTCATGGTGATGGTGATGATGGTGGTGGTGGATGATGGTGATGGTGGTGGTGGTGGTGGTTGCGGTGATGGTTGAGGTGATGGTGAGGATGGCGATGATGGTGGTGATGATGGTCGGGGTGATGGTGATGATGGTGGTGATGATGGTCGGGGTGATGGTGATGATGGTGGTGATGATGGTCGGGGTGATGGCGATGATGGTGGTGATGGTGGTGGTGGTGATGATGGTGATGATGATGATGGTGGTGGATGATGGTGACGATGGTGGTGATGATGGTCATGGTGATGGTGATGGTGGTGCTGCTGGTGGTGGTGGATGATGGTGATAGTCGTGGTGGTGGATGATGGTGGTGGTGGTGGTGGTTGCGGTGATGGTTGAGGTGATGGTGAGGATGGCGATGATGGTGGTGATGATGGTCGGGGTGATGGTGATGATGGTGGTGATGATGGTCGGGGTGATGGTGATGATGGTGGTGATGACGGTTGGGGTGACAGTGATGGTGGTGATGATGATGATGGTGGTGGATGATGGTG